TGTGTGTGTGTGTGTGAGTAAGAGAGAGAGTCAAACATCCTACACAAGAACGAGTATCATCTCTCTTCAATTTTTCAAGATGCCAGCATGTGTGTATCCACTTTGTGTGTCATCTTCAATTATTTGTGAGAGTGCCTAAACATATGTTAGTGTGTGTGTGTGTGTCGTTACATTACATCGTTTGATTTCTGCAGGTTGCCTATAGGAATAACACCAAGCTGCCAGTTTACAGTGACGGCTGTCTTTTGGCCAGAACCGACATCCAGCACGCTAAAGATGTTTCAAAACTGGCCAGCCAGGTAACACACACACACACACACACACACACACCAGGTCTACCCAGCATGCATTGGGCAGTTGATAGGGAAGCATCCGGAACAGAGACTTCATTTACCTGTTTGTCTCTTCCTCCTGCAGGTGAAGTATAAGGAGAGTTTCGACAGGCACTTAAAGGGCCAGAGGCCTCGTTACAACCCGCTGGACTGTGTCTCCTTCAAACACACACAAGCTGCTGCTGCTCTGGCCAGTCAGGTGGGTCAATCACGAGGTCACATGATCTCGCACAATTATAAGTCATGAGTCAGTGGTAATCAGTCATATTACCATTGACTCAATGCTACTACTCGCCGTTTACAAATCACCCTTTCAGCCAACACCACGAAGCAACCAGCTTTGCAGTAATGTTTGACTTTGTGTTGGACTTGGTGTTGTTGTCGGTGTCACTTGTTTGTCGACGTCGGAGAGACTCCATTTATAAGCTAACATTAGCTCGTGTCGCACAGAGCAGATTAACAATTATTAACAAATAATCAGATCTGACCTGAAGATGTTTTTCTTTTCAGACATTTAGATAAACGAGTCCAAGAGGAACAAACTGTGCCTGTTTGTGTGTTTGTGTGTGTGTGTGTGTGTGTGTGTCTCATTCACTTTGACTCGCACTCGAAAAACTCAGTCTGTTGTGTGGGCGTAACCATGGCAACCTTTGTAAGGCAAATGGAGAGGGATTGTAGGATGAGAGCTGGAGAAGTTACAGAGGTTACACACACACACACACACACACACACACAGTGGACACCCACATACATACAAACATGCGCTACATGCAGTCGCACAGCAACTGGACAGACTTACACACACATGCAGATCCACATAAAGATGACCAAGCAGCCATACAAACACACATACATAGATTTTAGTCCACTTGTTGCCCACGCAGCACAGAAAAGAGCTTTTCCACTTCACAACGTTACGTAACAGCTTGTTGTGCTGAACGCTGCCTGGTGTTCAGGAACGCTGCACGTTCACTGAGAGCTGCTTTTTTAGAAAAGCCTCTTACAGAGCAAGAGACTCTCAGCATCATGATGCATGGGCAGCTCTCCGAGTGCAGCTTTTTTTGATAGAAGAATGTGGCAAATTGGCTCAATCTGGAGCGGAATTTAGCACCAAAACATCAAAGAAAATGTGGATGTGTGAGGAAATCGTTCATTTGTCAGCGTTCACTTCCACAGAGTGCAGAAATACACGGCCCTTAAGTGTTTTGTGATGTTTTGAAGCCTGGAGGGAGGGTTTACTGCTCGCCACCATCTCTGTCCTTCACTGGAGCCAGAAAGTCCTAATTTTAGCAAAGCTGGAGGAGTGAGTGAGTGTCATTGGCTGTCAGTCAGAATCCTTGGATCCTTATTCTGAAGATTTCTGTCTGTGAAGTAGGGTTGCAACTAGCCATTGTTTTTATTATCGCTTAATCTGACAATTATTTTATCGATTAAGTGTTTAAAACATCAGAAAATATAGTGAATTGAAGAAGCTGGAACTACGTCAACGTTTGTCATTGACAAATAACGATTAATTGATGATGAATCTGATGATAAACTGCTTAAGTAACTGTTAGCTCTAGTATAAAACAACTTCTCCTTTATATAGCGAGAAATCCTGGGAAAACAGTGGTACGTTCCCAGAGATTAATAGTTTTAATGCTTCCTCTGTCCTCCAGGTGAAGTATAAAACCAACCAGAACCAGAAACCAGAGGGTTCTTCAGACCTGCCGAACCTCCTGCAGCTGGAACACGTTCTGCACGCCAGTAAACTGCAGAGTAATGTAAGGAACACATTGGAAGAGTAGTTTGTTGTTTGTTTGTTAGTTGTTTTGTGTCCATTTGTAGAAGTTTTGTGTTTCATTGTGGCTGTTTTGCGCCCTTTCAGTAATCCATCCATGAATTGGGGTCCTCAAAAGTTTGAAAGTACAAATTTGTGTGTGTGTGTGTGTATGTGTGTGTGTGTTCAGGTGGAGTATAAGAAGAAGTACGAGCAGACCAAGGCTCATTACCACATACCTCTAGACACGGCTGAACAGCTCCACCACAAGGAGAACGCGGTGCTGCACAGCCAGGTTACACACACACTGCCATTTCTACTTCTGCTGATGTTCTCTTTCTCTCTCTCTGTTAATAAATGAGTCTGTGTGTTTGTTGGTTTAGGTGAAGTACAGAGAGGAGTATGAGAGGAGCAAAGGTCGCTCTCAGATGGAGTTTGGAGACACTCAGACGTACAAAGTGTCTAAAGAAGCACAGAAGATGCAAAGTGAGGTAAAACTCTCTTCTCTCGGTCCTGTTTGTTAAACCGCTGTAGGGACATTTAGCAGCTGCAACACATTGCTAAAGCTAAGATAAGATAAGAAAACCTTTATTTGTCCCACAATGGGGAAATTGCAGTTTGCAACAGCATACAGAAAGGACAGAATAAAAAATAACGAGCAGAATAAAAAATAACAAGAGCAAGGTAGTTATAAACTAAATATGAAAAAGCATAGCATTGCACAGACTGGTGTTTTTTTTTTTTGTTTTTTTTTTGTTTTTTTTAATACTATAATGTTTAGCTTTGGAAAATGGCCATGTAGCAGATTAGCTTCAGCAGAGAAATCATGCATACAACACAGGAGTGTGGCTCTCGCAGAGAAATGAATAAAATATGAAGCTCATTTGCGAGATAAGAACAGGTAAAAGCCATTCTTGACATGAATAAACCAGTGTGACAAATATATGCTGGTCGAATGTGAACGAATGAGTGACCAATAAGAAAAACTCACAAAACCAAGCAACAGAATTGAGAAATTGTGGGTTTCTTCCTCCCGAGATGATTTTGTTATTTATTTTCTCTAACAAGAACACACAGTGTTTTACTCTCTCTCTCTCTGCTGTGTGTGTGTGTGTGTGTGTGTGTGTGTTTTGGTGTTTCATCTCTGTCCCAGCCTAATGCCGCTGAAGGCCTTTGAAGCGAGATAGCTGGTCAGTGTAACTGTAGTTTTGTCCACTTTCAGTAGTCACATTAGACGCTGTATCTAAATGTTCTACTTAAAGCAGATATAGAAAACATGGATTAGGCCCTTGCAAAGAACTAAGAAAAAAATCCCATACAAAGTACAGTACGTCGGGCCTTTTTGGTCCTCAGCCAATCAGAACATTGCTGTAGTTGTTTTAACCTGAAGGCAACTAACTCAGCCTGGCCTCAGTCAGCTTATGGCATTCTAATAAGCCCAAGTGGCCAAAATATCAGCTATTGCAGGTGGCTTAATATTAGCTAGGTAGCTTCTTTAGCGACAGTTGGCCTAACATTATAGCTAGGAAGTTTTGCCATTTTACAGCCATACTCATGACTTTAAGGGGTTTTTTGTAGAGACAACTCTTCAGGCTGGATCTTGTTAGCCTCTTTTAGCTTGTTTGTTTCACAGCACATTTAATAATTTAATTTAGTTTCACCGCTCTCATCGACCTCATGTCATGTTTTCAATGAAAGACCTTGGATAAAGCAATGCACCAGTGGTGGAATGTAACTAAGTATATTTATAATCTGTACTTAATTACCCTACACTTTTGAAGTAATTCAAAAAAAATTTATTTTTTTCGTCTTCATCCTGGAGACCAGACTTGCAGGCCCTTGTTGCACCTGCTAAAGTGGGACACATACATGTATTGACACCTTATTGGTATGTTGGGTTTAGTCACCTCATGTAACTCAAAGCATAGCTCTGCCCAACTTCAGCCTACGCAGAATACAAATCAGCCAGGATAACTGTCTGTGTGTTTAATGTAGTCATGCTGGAAGAAACCCTGCCAGAGTTTGAGATGAGCTACAGCTTTATGTCACCAAACCTTTGTCTGTCTTGTCAAGCTCACCGTTGTCAAAGAGATTCAAGCACTGAAAGTTGCTTAGAAAAGGGACACAGAGGACTACCTCTTTTAAGGATGATTTTGGGGGCTTTTATTGCCTTTAATCAATAGTGACAGGAAAGTGGGGAGAGAGAGGGGGATGACACGCAGCAAAAGGCCACAGGCTGAAACCAAACCCAGACCACCGTGGCAAGAACTTAGTCTTTGAGCATGGGGCACGCACTCTACCAGGTAAACTCCCACAGAGGACTACTATACTCTAACACAGTGGGAGCACCTGTCTGTACTCATACATACAACATACTAAGCAGAGGATATCAACCACTGTATAGGCCTTTTTCACTGCAGACACTCTGTCATACAGTGTATGAAAAAATAACAATTAAGTGTGTGAGGCAGCCTGCAGAATACCAACAGACCCCAAAAGACTGAAACAGCTAAATGGAATTCAGCCATCATTAATTTTATTTACATGACTGTGACCAGCAAAAATATCTGCTGCGGAAAAAGGCCTGTTGACTTATTTTTAGAGCTTTCAATGTGTAATAATAATGTATAATATGAATGAATGACTTTCACTGTATAACAGGGTGCACACAAGAAGACAGTGTGGGGACAGAGGACATAATGCAGAATGGATGGTGATGCCCCCTAGTGGGTTAACCCAGCCATGCTGTAAACACTGCACATCTCCATCAACTCCCCCTGGTTTCCACTTACTTAACAAAACAAAAACAACAACAACAAAATATATATAATATATATATTTAGTGCCTGAAGGTGAGTGGAATTGACAAAATGTTAGCAATCTCACTATTTTCCTCAATAAAAATAAAGAAAGAGAGACCTAAATAAACAGATAAACAGTAACTTTGTGGAACAAAAACAGCACCAGGGAGGAAAGAGAGAAAAGAAACTGGGGGAAAGAGTTAAAGATAAAAGACAGGAGACATCCTCTGCGGTCATGTTGCTCTGCGATCTGTGGAAGCAGAGAAAGCGAGATGATACTGTGGATGTTTAGGTCCTGGTACGGCTCAGCACAACTCATTACACACAGACACACACAGTGCTGGAAGTGCTCAGTGCAGTTTGTTTCTCAAGAGGCTGCATTCCTTCACTTACTGTCAAAGACTCAAGTTGCTTCAAGAGGATAAAAATACTGACATGAGTACAGCAAAGCCACAGCAGGAGAGATTACTATTAAAAAGTGCAGAGGGAGTGCAGAGTAAACAGAAAATATAGCAATAAAATACAGTCGTCATTTTGTTGGTACTTGTCCTACGGTTCCCCATACTGGTGATTTTCACAATCTTATTTTAACATCAGTTAATTATCGACTGGCAGCCTCTACCAGCAGTTACTCTGTGTTTTTCATTTTGTGCCTCCGGGTTGGATTTGGAGGGAAATCTGTTTTATTGCTCTATGGCACAAAACAGGAAGAAGGCGATGTTCCTCCAGCCCAGACTGAGCTCAAGCTTTGACAGTTTCTGGCAGTGGTAGATGAAAGGAGATGGAAGAATCCTTTCCAACATGGTTATCCTCTTCAATACAGCCAAGAGAGCAACCAGGAAACTCCAAGAGCATATGAGAAACTGGCTTTTATTATTATTAAATGTGGTCTAAAGAGAACTAGAGATAAATTAGCGATGAATGTTTGAATATCAATGTCACAGTTTCAGCTCTGAAATGCTTCTGCCAGACTGACTACCATGTGACACATACTCTTGCATCTCTTCAGTACTATCTTTGGATTGATTCTATTCCATTTTATTAAATATATATTTAAACGCTTTTTGAAGCATGTATTGAGCTTTTAATCTTTAACACTGGTGAAAGTTTATTTTGCTTTAAGCTCATTATGTTTTTAAAATGGATATACAAAAAAAGCTTTTATAAAGTAGGAGTACCAGTACAAGTATGAGTGCCTGCAAATGAATACGACTGTAATGCCGATACATTTGAAAGATGATGTGGAAAATGTAAAATTTTAAGCCATGGTTGTGGGCATGCAGGCTGTTTAAATTACTAAACTATATCCACTCCTTGAGTTCAAAAATTACATTAACTATAACAGTACGGCCACACAGATGTTTTCACTTATTTTGCCTAATTAAACCTCTTCAGATGCAGTCAGACCAAAGTTAGCTTCCCATTCATTTCCAGAGCTTTGACAGTTCCTGGCTTTATCCTCTTCACTGAAGCCAAGACAACAGTGAGACTAATGGGAATAAAACACTGGATGATTTTAAACTTTGTGGACTGCTGTTGTTAGCCCGCTAGCCATGCTAGCTCCAGCAGGTTCCTGTCCCATTGCTTTTGGCCACTACCACTGATATATGGCCACATCATGGATGTTTCACCAAGCAAATGTTGGTCTAACTGCTGCATGAGGACAGTGTGGGTGAGTACAGACTTAACCTGACTCAGTAGCTTTGTTGCACCTGTAAGGGCAGAGACGTTACCCCTTTCTTATTGGTTCAGGTAACCTTACATAATTTCCTGCATAGCTCCACCCAACATCTGTGTGCAGGGAGCATTTATTCACTGTGATCGGAATCAGGTTTATTGCCAAGTACATACAAGGGATTTGGCTTGGTATACTAGTGCATAAAAACTAACATAGTATGAGAAAAAAATAGAACAATATAAAATAATAAAAATATCAATAAAGATGTGAATAAAAACTGAAATATAAAAATGCAATATGTACAGTATGGCCGTTATTTAAATGAAGAGCTGGACATTTTGTCCGGGGAATGTGCAAGTTCACTGTGTGAAGAATAAAGGATATCTACAGTGTGCGAGATATAGTCCAAGAAATATGCGCAAATGTTACACACAGATTCAAGTGAGTAGGTAATGCATAACGTAAATGTGTAGAGCAGGGGTCTCAAACTGCTATTTTTTGTAGTTGTTTCATACATTAATAATAATATAATACATACAATTATAATAAAAACGCAGTTCTGGTTTAAAAATTTATTTGGTTTGGTGCAAAATAATGACAAAGGTCAAAGTTGCCTGTAAATGTGTGATAAGAAGAAAGCAGGTTTTGATCCTTTATTTGTTATTTGGCTATGAACAACAAATATTATATTAAAATCATAATATAAAAATGTATTTTTTTGTTAAGTATAATTTTAGTAATGGAAATATTTCTCAGAATTCTGCACTTTCCTGTAGTACTTGAACTTTGAAATGGCCCGAGATGACAATACCAGCAGTGGCCACAAGCCAATCTGAGATTGCGACCCCTGGTGTAGAGGGTGGGTGGTGGGTATAAGAGTCAGTGTTGAGAGGGCGAGACTAAAATGCTAAGACAAAAAATTACAGAACTCTGTAACAAAAAAGTACAGTGCCTTTGTATTCAAACTGCCCGGGCCTCATTTTCTGATTAAGTGCTCTGACAGAAGAAAGCAAACAGAGAGAAAGAAGAGTGATTGTCTACTCTGAAGGTCACTTGTGCAGCTGGGGTGATGCACTGCAGGGGTCAGAGAGGTCAGGACAGATTCAGACACTTTAACAACATTTTAAAATCCTGTGTATGTGATTGATATACCTTCATACCATATGCTCTTAGTTGCTTTTGCCCGTTCCTCTCACTTGCTATCTGTGTGTCTCTGAGCAAGCAGTAGAGGCAGACTAACAGTCACAAGGAGAAAAGGTAGAAGTGAATGATGAGCAGAAATGCTCTCAGGCAGTATTTTACATTTAGTGCCGCCCTGTCAGTGTCATGTTGTCCACAACCTTTCTTCTTGCCACCCACCCACCCCTTTTCTCTCCTGTTTCTCTCTGTCATTGGCTGCTTTGGAAAACATTTGTAAGATCTTTAAGAGGAAATATGTCAATGTCAGCTGATTCTTACTTATAGGTAAACATACTGCACGACAACAGGTAGTCTATATAAGACAACATTTCCCATGAGGCTTGTTGTCTCCTGCTGCAAAGATGCTGTTGTCCCGGAGATATCCTCTGAAAGTTTTATGTGTCTAGAGTTTATAGTCAGCAGTGCAGGTTTATCTCTTCAGTCTTTACTTGGATGGTAAAAGTATTCAAAACAAATTACAACTGCTTCAAAACTGTCCAGAGGGTAATGCCAATAACTAATCTTATGAATGTGGTAAAAGCAGATATCATGTAGCAAACTTAGTGCATGTTATTCATTGTCTGTTATTAGATTAATAATTAGCCATAAATATAATACGTTAGATATTCACTGATTTTACTATTGAGTATAATAAAAATAAAAATAATCTAACCTTAATTACTGTGCACTAACCCAGAACTAACCGATTCATAGCTGATTGAGTGACTCACAAATTACAATTTGGACATTAACTATTCATTATCGATGAAAACATTCATGAAATTGGTAACACTTAGTTTGGAACTTGATTGGTAAATTTCGTTTCTCCAATGAACCCTTTTTGTAATACTCTTATGGTAGTCCTATTCGAGAGTAAGGGGGGCATAAGTCCCAGTAGTATCCCTTTAGCTGCGTCGCTATTGACACCTCTTGAATCCTACATAAGCCCAGAGATATCTACTTTGATTTCAGGTCCATTCCACGAAAAGTGGAAGTTAGCACAGAGGCGGGAGACAAGGACTGTCTTGATAAGCATAACAGGTTACATACATTTTCAAAACTCTCTTGTACTTTTATAAATACCCCGTCACAAGGTTATTAGGGTATTACGTTGTGTGTAACATCTGACGGTTTGCCATTCCTATCGTGCACATGAGGTTAACAGCTGTTGAAAAAGAATAATGCTTGTCAAGGTTTTTCCACTCTTTATTATCTGGTTCCGATTGATCGCCGAAAAGAATTAAAGGGATACCATATCTTAAAAGAGAAGTAAATTTTTACTCTGTTTTTAAAATATCTCATAACATCCTGTCTCCTATAACGCATGTTGGCATTGTCGGATTGCGTGGTGCTGAACTATCCTGACCATAGTCGCCCTCTCCCGTTGTTGGCCTGTAAAAACAAGATCCACATTTAGGTAGTGCTGATTATTAGGTAAACATATAGGACTTGGTAGTAGGGAAAAATACAAGGAAGCTCTGTCAAGCTAAAAAAGTAGAAATGATAAGCGCTTCGAAGTTTGGCTGTGGCCTCTCTTTGACATCAACTTGTACCGTCGGCACTTTCTGGAAGTCCAGAAAACCTGCTGCAGTCCTCCAAGGATATGTCAATGTTAGTATAGTTTTTTTCCTGGGAATTTCAAAACCACACCAAACTTCAACTCTTCTACGTTTTTACTATTCTCATTTCCTACAAAGTCTTTTACCTAATCAGGCACTACC